AATAATACTTCAGGACCGATTGCATGAACAGAATTTTACCAAAATTATGTCGGTCTCACTTGAAGAGAATGGATATATCCAGCAAACCTTAGTATACAGAGATTTCTCATTCAAATAAAACATTGTGGCAACTGGGCCAGCATCCATCCAGACACACATGGACACCATCTACATGAACATTCTGCCAAATCGAACAGCGGTCAGTGATTCACTTTAAATAACTGCCAAACCTCAGCATTAAAACAAAACCTTGCAACACTGACACCAAAAACCTTAGGGGTTATCAGGAGAAAAAAAAAGTGTGAGGCTGAACTTTGTGAGGCAAAGCAAACCAGAGCATGTGATCTTAGAAAACAGAAGAGTATGTAGAGAAGAGAGAGAGGCTTTCATTCATTCATTCAATATGTTTTTGCTGCAGAGGAAACCAGTGGCTATTGCTTTGACTACACTGCGTAGAAGACAACCACAGAACATCTGGTAGTGGTACATGCATGCTATGATGTAACAGCACATAAAATTCACTGTTTGGTAGGTCTTGGGGTCACACTTCAGTAAAAAAAATAAAAATGAAAAATAAAACGCATAAATAACTATTTTGTTATGCGTTTTAAATATGTAAAAATGTAACTATTGACTATAATCCTTACTGTAACAGCTAAGGCAATCAAGTGCTCACATGCAAAAATAACTAAGACACATGGCAGTAATGCTCAATCACAAGACTTTGTCCTCTATACTCTGCAAAATATTAATTATTAACATAAATTAACCAATAAAGTCCAATGTACAGTTTCAGTTTTAGCTTGAAACTGTACAAAGTAATGCTAGCCTTTCTCTGTTCTGTTAAATTTTATGGATCAAACAGAGCCTCATGCTAAGCTGTGTTCAGTGTAAGGTCCACGTTGTGGCCAGTCCCTGGACAGTGTGACCCCAAAAGTTATGGATGTGAGGAGATGCTACTTAAAATCTTTAAAGCAAATGAATGTATCAAACAAGATTAATAACACGACTTGCAGTGTTTGCCTTGCTTCCAGGGCCAACCCTGGTTCCCACACTCACTATTACCACTGACTCTGTCACTTTCTATTATTCAGCTGTTACAGGTACATCTACTGAAAACTGGGTGAGCTGCATGACATGGATTTGTGCCTCTCTCCTGACAGTCCCGTGACACAGCAAAAGCTGATAACAGACACAGACATCTGCCTGTCTTGCCTCCTCATTAGGAGGTCAATCTGGAATGTGTAAGCCTGCCCTGTAAGTAGTACATGTGTCGCTCCAAAACAATCTCAGCATGAGGCGATGAGGAATGTAACACTTTGAGTGGGTGTATGTGGATGTGTGCACACCTACAAGGGTGTAAGGGATTACAGCAGCAGGGCGTGGCGACCTGAGGCAAGCCAGCAGATTACTGGTCATAATCAGATCAATCGGTCCTGTCTGCACAGGGTTCAGGAGAAGGCTGACCATCCCTCATACAAGCCCATGCTCCCCATCGTCCTCCCTACATGTCCCACCACAGCATTCTCTTTGATGACAACAGTTCATTCATATGAGATGGGTTCATTGTCATTTCTGCTGTGCTGATAGCCTCCTCTTACGTTTAACTGACACTGGAGCTGAGCTGATTCCTCCCTGCAGGGTTTTTGTAAGGTCACCATCCACTTAGCTCATACTGAGAGGACACTCAGCAGAATTGTATCTGAAAGGTGAAGGTTTAATTGACACGGCGACCTTCTGTTTTCTGTATCAATTTTTCATTTAGTTTACTCTAAGCTTAGGGGATAATGTTGTTTAACATATCGTTTTTCAGCTTGGCTAGCCTGGGGTCTATTGAAAAGCATTGCAAACAAAATTATAATGTGAGAAATATTCTTAATGCAGACCTGACTTTAGTTAGCATAATGCTATAAACTTAACACAGCACACGCTTCTCTTGGTGCGTGCGCGAGATCTATCAACCATCTTTGTCCATACATAAACGAGTGGCTTCTTACTGGCCGCAGGGGGACAAAACACATGGGTTACACAACAAGACGGAGACCGATGTGAAGAACACATCAGGGCCCAAATGAGGGCAGGCTTTGTGTGTCCTGGAGTTATTCAACATTTGGAGCACCAACACAAACCAATGCAACAGGACATCGCGTCACCCCTTTATAATTACATTAGCTCTGCTATGTTTAAGAGCTTCTACTGAAAGGGGTCTTTGCTTATTTCCAGCCTGCCTGCAGAGGCCTTGGACACATTTCCTGCACACTGGATAATCAATTTGCTGCCCCTCTGCCTGCACCCGATCCTTGACAATCCTCTATGCATGGTGAATAGGAGAGAGAAAGGAGGAGAGGGAGACAGCATATCCTGCTCTTGCCCCTGAGCTCAATCTTGCTCTGTGCTGTTGACACATGCACACGGATGGACACATATGCCCTTGAGCACGTCACAACAATAAGGGGAGTGTCATAGCCTCGCGCACACATCAACCAAACACCTACAAGCTGACCAAGCAACTCCATAAAAACATCCCATTTCCGTCAGGCAGCTTTCGGTGCAATTAAATGCTAGCACTCACCAAAGACCCCTGTAAAATAATGGAAACACACATGTATTGCAGACACTGTTTGGCTAGCATTTACACACCATTGATTCTGATTTAAGCAGCGTATTAAACTGTGCACTGGCTAAAGCACCATATACTAACACAGAATTTTTTAAAAATCGTGGATGTTGCTGCAGTGAGGATTTGAGAAGGTCCTTTAGATGTTTAATGCTTATATCTGCTGTTGCTTTGTCAAACAAACTACTAACAGGTTATAGGCACCTCTCAGTTCTATTAGAAAAGCTTACTTGGAGAGTGTCTGATACAAAAAAGACAGACTTTAATGAGGGGAACCATGTAAAGTTGTGATGAGTCATAGATACGCTGCTTGATTAAGTCCATCTGTATTTGGATGAGGTCTTTCCATTTTTAACAGAATTACGTGATACCACACATCTGGCAGTCATGGAAACCAAACATATCACAGTGAAAGGAAACACTCACTTGTAATTTAAAAAAAAAAAAACTGATAAAAAAACATACTCTGCACAGTACTTGACGAACTCAAGCAAGAAATAATTCTGTAATTATATGCTGTAATTATACAAACCATAGTTCGAGTGACTGTCTATTAAAATGCTGTGCATAGCACCTCTTGGTCTCCCAAACAAGATGCTAATAAATTACACTCTGGTTCAAGTTAGTCGACAGTGACAGGCAAAAAGTGCAGGGAAACTCAGTGACCGCAGCTACAGAAAGGTCAGATTTTAGCATTGCAAGTCAAATAATCTTAACTGTATGAACCTGTGCATGCTTTAGCCACTAGGTACTGTTCAACCTCTCAGCATACTAATAAGACAGCATTCTCAGCATACCATCTGCAATGAACTCCTGATGAAGGGAGAGTATGGCCGCCTGCCAGCCTCCCTTTCTGCTCTGCAATCTGCCCATGTGATAGGAGGTAGAGTAGGCAGTGCTGCAGCCTACTCCTCTCCCTCGCTCACACACTCACTGACTAACCCCCCAAAAAACACTGCATATTCCACTGCAGTTCTGCTACAAACCACGAGTCACCCTCCAGCTCCTTCGAGTGACATTGGCATAATGAAAACCCAAGGATATGGAGTAAAAAAGTACTAGGGATTTGACACAAAGCTTCTCTTTGGTAGAGTGTGAGAGATAAAAGACAAGTGAGCCATAACTGGTAGGGACACTTGATCTTATGGAAGATTCATATAGGCTTAGTCTAATGAGGCCCATAAGACTGACAGACAAAACTTGAGGAAAATAAGAGGGCCTGCTGGCAGAACAGGTTTTTGCTGTCAGATGCTGTCTTGTTACTGGGTCATTAAACGTTTCCATGCAAATGTCAGGGAGGCTGTGTTCAACTGCCAGCTGAAATGGAACATACAGCACAGTCATGAGTAAGGAGGCAGCTAGCTCTTCACAGTACCTGATGACTCACAATCACAAGTACGCAGGTTGAATCACATGACTACAAACCACATTCGGGTCTTCTCCTCTTGCTCTGCTATTGTTTATCCTTTCATATATTCCACCAGAATGGTTTCCCGCTAGGCAGGGCACCATCACATATTCAACCGCACCAGTTCAGTGAGTTCATGAAAAGCTATGCATGCTTCTTTCAATGTGTATCAATATTAAATAAATAAATGACATTTTCTGCAAGCCTGCATTATAAAACCGACAAAATCTGATTTTAGCATGCAGTTTATTTGGAAAAATTTGTATTTCCATTAGCCAAAAGTGACTAAAACTAAAGCTGTAACAAACATACTAAATGCATCTATTAATCACCATCTCAGCCACTGATCCCAAGAACATACTGTCAAAGGTGAGACAAATCTTTTAACACTACAACATATAAGAAATTACAAATCATAGTTTACAGGTTCTCTTAAAGTTGAGAGGAAATTTTAAAAAAACAAAAACAAACCCTGTTTATCTTGTGAATGATTTGCTGTCCATAAAATTTTAAAAGCCTCTAAGCAGGCTCTTTGCAAACTGTTTGTGTACACTCAGAGATAGCATTATCATAAAGTACAAAAACAACACACACATCCATTGTACAACACTGACTGTGTGATAAAGAAGAGATGAAATGGGGGTACTGGCAGACCAGGCTGTGGGACGACCCCTGGGTCTCCCAGCATGAACCAACTAAGCGTTTCTCACACAGACTCCTCAGGCATGCAGGCCCCTTCAGAGGAGGAGGAATTTCACTCTGTAAGCCTTTTATTCTCTTTCAGGCTGTTTGTCCCCAACCGTCCACTATTCAGTTTGCTCATTCTACTGTTCTTTGCTAAGATCCCTGACGGAAGACCACGCGGGAGCATGTGTGGTATACCAAGTTTGCCTTGGTGGACAGACCTGCATAAATTTAAGACATGGTTTTTGGTTTGTGTGGGTGTTCTCGTGTGCATGCCAGTGGGGTACTTACTTGTGGTGTTGCCTTGCATCTGAATGATACATTTTGAGTCCTTGCTCGTCTCCCTGGAGTTGAAGGGCCGAACTCGAACAGCGACTTTTACAGACGCCCCAGACATGTTTGCGGTTTAGGACCGTCTCCCAGTAAGACTCCTTATATATCCCTCCTAAAGGAAACACAAGAAAAACCAATGTATGCATCTGCTTACTAAAAAAAAGGAGATCTGGTGTTAAATTAGAGAGAGACTGTGTTTGCTCACTCATTTAAAACAACACAAACTGCTCGAATGCAATAGAGCAGAACCTATTTTCACAACATGTAAATGAAACACAATGAAAGTGCAACCCCCTCCCAATTTCCAGTCATGAGAGCCTACAACAAACATGGCCGACCAAAGCCATTGAGGCGCTTTAATATTTTGTAAACAGCAACATTAAGCAGTCAAATAAAGGATGCAAGGCGATGCATTCAATGAATTATTGCACAGTGCGTTTGAAAGAAGCTTTGGCGAATGGAAAATCTGAATATTGCATATGATAACTGTGCCTGCATACACAACATATTTCCTTATTAAAATAAAACACAACTTTCCAATGTGTTTACTGTCAATTTAAGGCTGTACATTCTGCGCCGGGTAACTACACAGCCTGATTATCTTCTGTTTTTCCATGTCCTTGCAGTCAGCCATAGTTGCTGAAGCATACGCCCATGAAATTCTATCTACCCTATTTGGTGTGGGCTACAGTGGGACAGCAGCCGGGCCTGTCTGCTGCTACAGTCTGACAGCGTCCATTCTGTGCAGACGGACACAGCTTAAATGTTCGTTTTTTAAAAATTAAATTCGCCCATGTTAGGAAGTAGGCTAATCCTCGGCTGCTGCATGCTGTGGAACAGTGCAGGGAGGAGTTTGACGCTTATTTTAGCTGCACAGACTGGACATATTGTTCATATTTAACCTGCAACGGAGGGTTATAAGGCATTAAATCCTAAAAGGTGCGAAGTTTCCCACGACAACCGTTATAGTGTTTATTTTAAGCTAGCGGTGAGCCGTGATACGCTATCTATCGGCTGTGACTTGAGTATCTCAGGCATGAGACGGAACTAACCTCCAGAGTCCGTCTGACGGAAACAGTAACACAACCACAGACAAACACCGAGCTAGGAAACGAGTCATTTTATATATATGGCACATTTAATCATTTTAAAGTATTGTCGGAACCAGCGGCTGTGCACCAACACCAACGTCTAACGTTAGAGACAAGTGAGCGAGCAGGCAGGCACCAGCTGCTTCTGAAATTAACCTGTAACAACAACCGACAGGAATCGTTAAAAACACGAATAAATAGGTCATTTTAACGTTTATACTCACGTTTGAGGGCACTCTCACCAAAACAGCACCGACACCACACGGACAGTGGCGAGAACTAAACGCTAGCTAGCGGGCGTCAAGACGGCTTGTTTTTTTTTTTCTATCAGAATCTGCGCGCACGAAAACTGCTATAAAGTCCGGTTCCGTTAAAAACACCCATTATAGCGGTATCCTCCGCCGGATGGACTGTGATTGAAAAAACGGCGACTCCTTAGCCGGTTTATCTTCCAGCGGGGGATAAAAGGCGGACGTCTATCTGCACACAAGCGAAAAGAAGAATTGATGGATCGCCTTGATTTACCGAAGAGATTACGTCAACTCCCTCTCGGCGCGCTGACGGACAGGCCGGCGGGGCCAATGAGCGACGAGACAGCGGTGACTTATGAGCCGGAGAGCCAATGGGGAGACCCGTGAGGGAGGGAGTGGGTGGGGTCTCTCTCCTCTTTATTTTTTTTCGAGCGTGACGCCACACTGCAGGATTTCTACCCACCGCTCCCCGCACCGCTGTCACCGCAACACCCAGGGTCACCGCAAAGAGCGCCGTCTAGCGACAAGTGGCGATGGTCGCATCTTAAGCGCCGTACAAAAAAACATAAACTTCACAGTGTCTGCAAACATATCCTGAATTAAAACAGCAACATTTTGCTGAAATAAGGGTGGAAACACTTGCAAGCCACTGCACCACTCCCCCCCCTCAACATTATACCAAAGGACTTCACGCAATGTTGCACTGCCAGATATTTTTGCACATGTTGACCTTTGCACCATAAACACTGCACATACTATACAGTTTCTTCTGCACGTTCTTGTTTGCACTGCACTTTGCATAGTCAACATGGACTACCTCAGTTGCATAAGCAGATCTTAACTTTCGTGCACCATAAATATTGCTCCTGCTTTTTATATACTGTCCTATATGCATACTTGTTTTTGCACTCTTGTTTATTCACATTATCTCAGTTTGATGAGTAGAGTCCAGTGAATAGTATGTCTGAATGGGGGCAGTAACCTAATTATCTAATTGCACCAGTTACTTATTTACTGTTGCACATGACAGTAAAACCTCTGAACTAGATTGAATCATCTGTTCACGTCAAATAAAAGAGAATCACTTTTTTTGTGTGTGTATGATGCAATTCACTTTTAAACAATGCTTTTTTTTGCGGTTACAGTTTTTCATGCTTTGCAACAAATGTGAACAGCATCGAGCTAAGGAGTCATTTTTGTTTGTTTATTTTCAGAATAAACTTTCAGTTTAGCCTTTATATGCTGTTTAAATGCTGCCAATAAATCTGGGACAGCTGCCAAAGTTTAATGCATTAGTTTATACCTATTACAGCAGAAGAATGACTAAGCTAATGCATTTGGGAATCCACAACTTCAAAAAAGTGATTTTGGCGTGCCAGGAATCTGTAGACGATATTTTTGCACAAACAAAATAAAAAAAGAAGTGTAAATGTTTCATACAAGATATAACATTTTCTCTTTTTTTTGCCATTTGACTGAGTCATTTTATTGACAACTTTTATATTCACCTTATCACCCAGACTGCTGCATTACTACTGTCCCTACTTAAATAGCCATTAGAGAAATTTGTTTTAGATTTTGTATGATCTCACATTTTGTAGTTGTGTATCCTCTCAATAGGATAAAGAAGAAAAAAAAACTTTGGCCAAACGAGACCAACCCAAACCACTACAGTATCAATCTGAGGAAAAAACAGTGACTAGTTGTGAAATAATGTGCATCATCATTTATTTCAGTTCAAAATCCTAGCTTCCAAAACAGGTATGTGGTTAAAGGAAATCATTTCCTGTACAGTTAAGGTCAGCAAGGTCAAGTTAGGTACAGTGCCATTTGAAAGAGACCGTTTTGAGGTGAGATGACTTTTAATGGTGTGCTCCTAAGATGGTGTCTCTGGTGATCATGCTACATTCTCTCATGTTCCTTCCACTTTGCCTAAAATAGGGTTACTTGTCCATGAGCTGGTTAGGAGGTTCTGGACTTGAGGCCATGCACACACAAGTAAATTCAATCTATCGAAGTCAGCAGGGAAAATGTGTCTAAAGAGGAAGATTTGAACATACTGTGTTGCGGTAAGTCACTGCTTATCTTCCTACCGTACTCAAAAGGAAGCTGACATTTAGGATTAGTTTACGTTAAGCTACATCCTTAATGGATATTGCCACTTCTGAACTTCATCTACAAGCACAAACTGTGCGTAAGTTAGCTCCGCGACACCACACTACATTACGTGGACTCAAGTTCGTCATTGTCACAGTCTTGATAAAGAAAACTCAAGGCTAGCAATTTTGTCAGAACCCACCCAGACTCTCCCAAATGTATTGCCCTTCACTCTCCCTCAGATAATTATAAGTCTTTAATGAAGCCAACATACACAATATTACAAAACGAAATGAGAACCGTAAAGGAAGATGATCGATGAAGTGACTGTATGCACCTCGCTGGTAAACCTGTTGGTGGTGGAAACATACTTTTGCTGCATTATAATGCATTAACTAACTCTTGTTAAATATATGTATATATTTTGATATATATACACAAACTCATGAGAACAAACTAAAAAGTCTTAACTTTATTATGCTTTATTTTTTAGAACCATGATAATGGTTTGAGACAAAAAGGGTAAATGCAAATAAAAATCAAATCAGGTCTCTTTTTTTTTTCCATTCAAAATGTTTTTTTTTTTTTGTTCTCATTGGTTGAAGTGACACTGAATTCAGGCGATTTGGAAAGATCCCTTAATGATGACTAGCAGGCCAGACGGTGACATGGTCTTTAAGCAGGTCGTCCACCTTGTTTCTCTCTCATCCAGGTATGGATCCTCTCCTTCAGTTCAGGCACTGTGGAGTTAACAACAGATTGTGAGGAGCAGCGAAGAAACTGACATTCACAATCTAACAGGTGACAAGTTAATTTGACATTTATCTGCCCTGAACTCCCTCATTTTGACTCTAAATGTATATAACTGCTTTGCTGTTATAAATGTACTTTGCTTTGCATGTAATTATCGAGGAAAAGGTTTAATAACAGTGTTACCTGACTCCAACATGCTCTCTGTGAGCGGCTGCCTGTTGAAGGGATCAGTGGGGGAGTTGAGCAGGTGGCGCAAGATGATGGATCTGTCCATGATGTTCCCCGAAGGCAGCATCACAGGGTCGGTCATCAGCGTGTCCATCAGAGGGTCTGTTGTAACGCAATCACATGCGTGTTTTATGGAGAATTAAAATAGCAATACTCAAGAAACAAAAACTTCTACTGACAATCCTGAAATCATGTTATTTTACAGCTTGTATTTAAAGGTGCTCAGCAGACTGCTTGAGGTATGTGACTAGCTAGTTTACTCATTGGCTTTTTGTAGCTGTCCCTAAATCTAAAAGTAATAAAACAAAAGAGTTAAATAAAAACAATACAAAAATTAAAATGTAATAAGTTTTTGTTTAAATGCAAAAAACGAACACCTAAAATGTTTCTGTACATGGAAGAATCTGTGCAATATCAATCTTCTTCTAAAGACAGACTAGCCCTGTGCAATGTTGTCATTTTACAGCAAAAGCAACAGTTCTTACGTATAATTCTTGCTTATGTTAAATTTTTTTTACTGATGTTAATACATTCTTGCATTTTTTCCTTTGCTGCTGTGATACTGCAAGCTTCCTCGCTGTGGGAATAATAAAGTCTTATCTTATCTTAATTCTACATTATCACCATGTAAGACATGGTTTCATCAAACGTGAGCGTTTGTGCGAGTTCCCCAGTGGCACGTCCAACCCACATATCTGAAAATATGTTCTACATGACAGCAATATTGGTGAACCTATCAAAACACCACTAAACAAGACAGCCAATAAATACTTATTAAAAGAATTCGATCAAGTGTGCCCTATATTGAAATGTCACAGGGTTGTTACAGTAGGACCCGTGTGTTACAAAAATAAAACTTGACATAGGAGATTTCAACCACACAGACAGCTGATACTCAAGCCTCCTGTATGGCACACTCCCATTAACTGTGGTGGGTTGGCTGGCATATCTGGGAATCAAAGGAGGTATGTGGAGCGCATTCTCGCTCCAGATTATATTAAGTCTGTGGTTACAGGATAGCCTTGCTCTAAGCTGTCTATATGGACTATATGAGCTGCAAAATCCATTGCAAATGTCTGGAATCCAATTGCAACAGAGGTTACTGACGATTCTGTCTGTCAGGAGCTGACCTGGGATCACACCAAAAAATTCTCTTTTACTTGAGGCCAAATGTTCAGTGGCTGAACAGATGTGGGTAAGGTGACCTAAAAATATACATATATATTTTTTAAAGGTAAACATGATAAATATATTTTTAAAAAACTCTTTGTAGGTTAATGTCTGATAAGATGCTTAAAGAGCTAGAGCAATATTACAGATTGGCCACTCGAGTTGTTTGCAGTATTTACATTGATACTGAACCTCAGCAATACACTACTAAAATTAAAATAAATGTAAAAAAATCTTCCTATGACTTGGATTTAATCAAACTAATAGCCAAAACAGATTTGGCAGCTTAACTGAAAATTTAGATAAGTAAATACGTATACTAGACAGTCTTACTGAACTTGTGAAGACATGGAATTGAAAGTAAATTGCATAGAAAATGAGATGTTATTAGAGTCTGTGGAAAAGAGGATGCAGTGCTTCTTGGTTCAAGTTACCACTGTTGGACAACCAGACTCAAACGTTTTAGTTATGCTGCTAAAACATACTGTAGGCTAACACACACCTTTGAATTCATCAGGTGCATCACTGTAGTCCATTTCAGACTGGGAGTTCTTGGCGACGATTTCCTCCACCTTCTCAGATAGCAGCTTGAATTTCTCAATGGCAATGGAGGACTTAATACCAGCCTTCCTCATCTTTGAGATCACTTCCTCGAAGAGTTCACGGCTGTACGACCGCTATAAAGAAATGAAAGACGGAAATATTATTTGGAATGACAACACTTTGTGACGAGTATTTAATACCTTAACAGTTATGTCTAAACTCTTTTTCATAGGCTGTGGTACTGTATGCAACTAGCTGGAGCTGGGCTCCGTAATATACAAATCCTGTGGTAACACTCCCAACAGTAAAATCTAGATAAGAATACAGGCAAATTAAAAGATTAACTAGTATGTTAGTGGTGTTTCATTATTCAAACTTTTGTTGTCAGTATTTAAATGTCACTGTTTCCCTAGAAGCGATTGAAATCAAAATGTAAATCAAGAACACGTCTGTAGTGTAAAAGCCCAGGAACTTTAACAATCAGGAAAA